AAAAGGTCCACTAAAATTTGTGGTCAAAAAATAAATAAGTAAATAAATACGTTGTAGGAAATTTCACTTCTATTTCATAGCCACTCATTCACTGTGCACTGGACAATAAACCCCAGAATTCTTTTGCAAGCTCAGAATTCTTTTGCAAGCTCTGCACTTTGTGAGAGGGAAAGCTTAGCCCGACAAATTCGATGTTTTCCGGGATGCATGGCCATGGAAGTGAAAGAACTCCTCTTATAAGCAGACAAGTAGGCTTCAGCTACATATGCATATACAGCGCACGAATTATTTCTCTCTCGATCGATGAATCTTGTTCGCTTTGTTTCCTGATTTTGACTTCGTCAATTCCGAAGATTTCTTGATTTTTCTTTATTTTAATGGACATGTTTTCATGATTAACGACGACCCTTTTGCATTACTTGAACGCCCATCAATTGTCCAGATTTTTTTTTTTTATAAAAAAAAAAAGGTTATTTCTGATTCTCAACGTTTATCGATTACGACTTCATGTACTTCTGTTTCACTTTTGAATTTAGGTATTTATCTTTTTTTTTTCTTCTTTAAAGGTTTGATTTTTTTAACTTATGTGGGCTGTGAATCATAAGCAAGATAAAGTTGCATTTTTTAACTGATAGATTTGGTTTATTTGAGAAATGGAGTGTGCTAATTGAAGTTTATTGGCTATAGCTAACACATGGCTTGTAGGGAATTTAGTTATATGTTAAAGTTGATCGAGTATACAAATTTACATTTGTTATATTGTTTTTCTTTCTTGTTCTGCATTTGGTATATGGTTTTTCTTTGTTACTTGTTCTGCTTGATTAGGGAGGAAGAAAAGGAAATGCTGCTGCCGATCAGCTGACAGACCTTGAAGATGGGAATGCTATACCGGTATTCCTTCTCCCGTTTGAATTATTGATGATTGATTTACATAGTTTGTATCTAGTAATGTGTTGATTTATTTTTTGGTTATAGGCAGCAAATGTGGGCTTTGGTAGAGTACTATCTCTTGTAAGTGGATGTTAGTTTCATAGCACATTAATTTACATAAATATGCTCCGTATGATAGTATTTTACATGAAGCTTGTTGACAGGCAAAACCGGAAGCTGCAAGTTTAATTGTTGGCACAATTGCTCTCTTGATTGCTGCCACATCAAGTATATTGGTGGTAAGTAATGATGTTAAAAGTAATGAACAGTCTGAATAGAAATCAACTAGCCATGACGATACATTCTAACTTTGTTTAATATTTTGGATATAAATTTTGGCAGCCAAAATTTGGAGGGAAGATAATTGATATTGTTTCGGGAGACATTCAAACACCCGAACAGAAATCTGGAGCTTTAAAGGCCGTCTATAATACAATACTTGAAATCTTTTTGATAGTCATAATTGGGTATGGTACTTATTGTTTGGTATAGGACAAGCTAATATCTGCCTTTTAGGAAGTATGATTTCTACTATTTTTTCCTTGTTCACCTTATCATATCAATTTTCATTGATGTACTATATATATAATTACTAACAAGTATGGCCCTGCACTTAACTTCTATATAGATTTTTCATTAGCGTTGAAAGGGTGTCTTGTGAAATAACTCGTAATGCAATTTTTCTTCAGTTCCATTTCTACAGCTGTTCGTTCATGGTTGTTTTCCGCTGCCAGTGAGAGGGTTGTTGCTAGATTAAGAAAGAACTTGTTCAGTCATCTCGTTCACCAAGTAAAAAGACCTATTGCCTTCCACTAATTGAATTCTTGTTATGTTTTTCCCAACTGGAATATTTCTTAGCTAAGAAAAAGTCAATTTCCTACCGAAATTTGATTTCAGTTGGTGGAAAATTTTGTAGGAAATTGCATTCTTTGATGTTACTCGAACAGGGGAGCTGTTAAGTAGAATGTCTGAAGATACACAAATTATTAAAAATGCTGCGACTACCAATCTCTCAGAGGCTTTAAGAAACCTCTCGACTGCATTTATTGGTCTTGGGTTCATGTTTGCAACATCGTGGAAGCTAACATGTAAAGCACAGTCTTTCTTAAAACAGACAATGAATGAACAAACTCGTATCTGCCCCTCTACCATTCCCATAACAAATAATTTCTTAAAACGTTTGTCTTCTCAGTGCTGGCTTTGGCTGTTGTCCCGGTTATTTCGGTTGCTGTACGTCAATTCGGACGATATCTAAGGGAACTTTCCCACAAGACTCAAGCTGCTGCTGCTGTGGCTTCTTCTATTGCTGAGGTGTCCTGATTACGCTTAATTAATTTATCCATTTTAAATAATTTACAAAATTACTTTAACGGCTCATTTTTATATCCTTTTTCTCCCATGGATTAGACGATTCAGAAAATATTGCAGCTCAGAAATTTGTTCAAGTATCTTCGTGTTAACTTAATTCTACTTGAGTGCTAAAGTGAATTGAAAGAAGTTTCTCAACCTAGAATTTAAAAAAAAAAAAAAAATCACTGACGTAAAAGGACATAAAGAAATCCGCATTTTATTCTATGGCTATATCATAAGGAGAAAGAAACATTAACTTGCAATGATAATTAGGAAAAAAGTGGAATGTATCTTATTTTTGCACAGTTTTCACTTGAACATGTTATTATGCATGTGCAGGAAACATTTGGCGCCGTACGCACAGTAAGATCCTTTGCTCAGGAAGAGTATGAGAACACTCGCTATTCAGAGAAAGTTGACGAGACCCTAAAACTTGGAATTAGACAAGCCGTGAGTTTTCAATAATGAAATGGCTTTCATGTATAGCAGATGTTAAACCTTTCTAAATAATCATATATTGTCTGCAGAGACTTGTCGGTTTGTTCTTTGGTGGTCTTAATGCTGCTTCAACCTTATCTGTCATTGTGGTTGTAATCTATGGTGCTACTCTCACTATCAAAGGCTCCATGACCCCAGGATCTCTTACATCTTTCATTCTGTATAGCTTAACTGGTAATTATACCTTGTGCAAATGGATGCTTTACTGAGTTCTACTCGAAAAAATAAAAGAAAGGACCAAGATTTGCTTGATTCACTCTTTTTATGTTTGTAGTTGGATCATCCGTATCTGGACTGTCTAGTTTATACACAGTGGCCATGAAAGCTGCTGGGGCTAGTAGGCGAGTTTTCCAACTTTTAGATCGTGTGTCGTCCATGCCGAAATCAGGAAATAAGTGTCCCTTGAGGTTATTTTCTTCTAATTAATGCTCGTTTTATGCCTTTTTTTTTTCCTCAATTACCACACTTCTAACGAGCTAGGTTCATGCTCTATCAGAATATTCACATCATTGATGAGTATTAATCTTAATTAGTATGTTTATACACAGTGATGAAGATGCAGAGGTAGAATTGGATGATGTTTGGTTTGCCTATCCATCCCGTCCTACTAGTATGGTCCTCAAGGTGTTAATTATGTTATCCACTTTTGATGGCACAGTAATATTCACAAATCACAAAGGTTAATGCTAAGTGCTTTATTTTTTCTGTATTTCCCTGCTTTTAGGGTATAACACTAAAGTTAAACACCGGTTCGAAGGTTGCGTTGGTTGGTCCAAGTGGTGGTGGAAAGGTATTAGAAACTGTTCATGTTTCTATATGAAATGGGAGATANAATCCTGCTTTTAGACGAGGCAACCAGTGCACTTGATGCTGAAAGCGAATATCTAGTTCAGGTCAGGTTCTATTTTTACAGAGCTCGATTTTTCTTGGATACTAAAAAAGAAATAAAAATAAAAACAAATGTATCACTATTCTACAGCAGAATGAAAGTTTCAAGACATTAATATATCCTATCACAGCCTTGAATTTCATCTTCGCACTTTTCACTTTTCGTACTCCTACTTTTTACGTACTACTTTTCGTAATGCTTGTGATATTCGGATCGAACAGGATGCCATGGACTCACTAATGAAGGGAAGGACAGTGCTAGTCATAGCTCATCGGCTTTCAACCGTCAAAACTGCAGATACAGTTGCAGTAGTTTCTGATGGTCAGATAGTAGAGAGAGGCAGTCACGATGACCTCTTAAGAAAGGATGGAATTTACACGGCCTTGGTTAGGAGACAGTTACAAGCACCAAAACCAGAAATATAGTCACTTCGTTTAATCACAAAGCAGTATTTGCTGATATAATCCGACGAATCCAAAACCGTCATGCTAATTCGTTCTTCATATGAACAATATATAGTCTTGTATATTTTCAATAGGGCTGAGAGTTCAAGCTTTTGTAATGTTAAGGTTCTTGACTAGATCTGGTTCTTTACAATTATTACCTCATTTAATTTAATCTATAAAATGGATATTTATAACTAGCAAGTGTGTTTATATATGTGAATTGATTCCTGCTACCTGAACATTTTTTCTGAGTAATTTCATTCCACTTCCATATTAGAACAATTTAAGGAGGTTGCAAGAAAAATAAGACGCATTATTCTTCACCTAACAAGTTATAGAAGATAAGTTGATGCTGGTTGATTCACTGCCTGCATAATCTTTTTCACCTGCAGGTTACGAGTGCAACATATTAACTGATGACCTAAATGAAAAAACTAAAGAAAAACAAAATAACGGAATTAACTGATGACCTAAATGAAAAAACTAAAGAAAAACAAAATAACGGTTACATAAAACGATATTGGAAGTTGGTGCATTCAATACAGGTTTAGCCAGACACTAGAGATGTATCGATAATGCCTTCACGAACTATTACCAGCCGCAGCTCATGAGCTTTTTCTAGACATGTCGACTCAAGCCCAGAAGCGCATTTCTTCTAGATGACAAAACGGACATAAAATAAAACAAACTGGAGTTCAGTCATCAAGAGCATCCAAAAACTTCATCCAATTTTGTATATAGATCCCACATTCTCTACAATTTCATTCTCTATATTGTGTGTAAATTCAAGAGAGAAAAAGACTATTTCTCCATTTTCAAACATTTTTTTTTTCTAATCCTTGCGCGACTTTCTCTACCCAAATTTTGCCTGCAGAAAATCAGAGGACCCATTAGCTGATTTTCTCTTTACGGGTTAAAATGTGGCTTATTCAAGGCAATGATGCCAGTGATTCCACATAGGCCTTAACATTTGTAACATCATCACTTGTCTCGGGATACTTTTGCGGCCTAAAAAGCTTCCACATTCCAGTCGGGTGCTGTTTTCGAGCCACACCACCTCCACTATTATACCTACCATAAATCTTTTCACACTCCGGATAAGGCTTCACGTACATATTATAGAATCTCATTCGACTCAGCCTAACTAAATCCCTCAAACCCACCTCATCCCCAAGCCCATCACTCGCACGCAGATGCTCAACAACTCTAAACCGAGGGACAATCTGTTTTTCGAAATTCACCCCCAAATACTCGGGAACCTCAACCAAGCATTGAACATCAAATTTCATCTCACGAACCAAAAATTCAATCTTTTTATCGATTTCGTCGATTTCGTAAAGAATCACCCTCGGTTCCTTCCATAAAACCGTGAACGCATCTCTGTAAATCAGCCCGTGTTTTCTTAAGCAATCAATCCTCATTTTTACTCTATATCCAGCTCTAACCTCTCCATCTTGATAAATATTCTTTCTAATGGCTGCCCGGCATTTTAACTTCCTAAGCATCTCCACACACTCTGAAAGCTCGCCATTTTCCAAACCAAGAATCTTGGGTTCTCTAAGGACCTCTCTTCTTATCACGTCTGAGCTAAAACCCAAAGCTTCAAATTCGTCGAGCAAAGGTTTTAATCTGTTGGTCACTGCAAATGATAGAATCTGAGGACACGAATTGAATATCCTATTGTGTTCCCTAGCCCGGATTCCAATTCCCATCAAGAACTCAACTTTACTTAAAATTTTATCCTCGTTCGACGTAATTACCATAGGCACTGCTTCTAAAACCCTAGTTACAGTGCTCCCACTGAAGCCCAGACCTTTCAGAAACTCAACACGCCTAAAACCACAATCCGGGCTCAGCCCGAATTTCGTGGCGATTTCAAGAACATTCCTAATTGCAAGCTCTGTAAGATTATTACAAATCCCCAACCGTTTGAAACCCAGTTCCCAATTTTCCAAGATTTCATGATGTAGGACACGGGGACAGCCAGTAACAGTGGAAACAAGAAAGTCTTGAGAGGGTTTAAGCGATAGTAAAATTTGAAACGATTTTTCGATTTCTGATTCGTTTGAGCTGAGCAGAAACTCATTCTTTTTGAGAAAATCGGGTAACTCGGAATGAGGGAAACCATACCTTTGAAAGAGATTGGATAGAGAAATCAAGTTCCTTTCGTTGGATGATGTGGTTGGGGAGAGAGATTTAGATTGTTTGTGAGCTGATGATGAAAATGGACGATTTGTTGTGGAGGACGATGATTTTCTGATATGGTGTAAAAGGGAGCATCTGATAATCCTAGAAGCCATTTTTTTTCTGTAAATTATGCAAGTTCTTGCTTATGTTCTAGGCGCATGTTGCTGTTAATAGCATCCACAAAGTTCAATCCTAAAAAATTACATATCATATAAGAAAAACATATTCTCCATACAAATAAAAGTAGACTAGATCTTGCTGACGTGGCAGCCAGAAAAAGAGACTGTCTCTCCTTAAATCTATTTTATAGCATCTACAATGCATTGGGTCTAATCTTGCCTGTGTGGCATGTAAATAAACTCAAATCTTGGATGACATGAATAAAATTATGTAAAATGAACAAAATCTACTCCAATGCAACTAGGTCTCTACTTGGGTCTAAAATAGACTTAAGGAGAGACCGGGTCTCTTTTTCTGGGTGTCACATCAACAGGACTCAGTCTACTTTTATTTGCATTGGAGAATACATTTTTTTAGACTGAGTATATTTCTTAGGCATACAATTTTTTGGGATTGAACTCAAAGCATTGTGGATGCTCATTGGGTCTAGTCTTGCCTATGTGGTAAGTAAATAAACTCAAGTTTTAAATGACATGAATAATACTATGTAAAATTAATAAATCTCTACTTGGCTCTAAAATAGACTTAAGGGGAGACCGGGTCTCTTTTTCTGGTTGTCACATCAGCAGAACCCAGTCTACTTTTATTTGCATTGGAGAATATATTTTTTTAGACTGGGTTTATTTCTTATTTGGCATGTAATTTTTTGGAATTGAACTCAAATCATTGTGAATGCTTAGCCCCAACTAGAGGCCTAATTTCTTTGCATTGGAGTTGATTTTATTAATTTTACATAGTTTTATCCATGATATCTAAGACTTTGGTTTATTTACTTGCCATATAGACAAGATTAGACCCAATGTATTGAAGATGCTCTAAACTGTTGGAGAATGACATGTGAAAATGACTCGATTATTAATAGCCAACAAAAAAAAAAAAACTATATAAGCATGTCCTTTCTTAATTTTGATCATATCTGGTTTTGCTGTTACTCATTTGTAGGGCTGAGCACGGGACTCGGAGAATTCCGAACTGTTCCGAAAACCGAACAGAAAACACTCCGAACCGAAAAATATCCGTTGACCGCTTGACATTCTCCAAACCGAAAAAATAATTGGTACGGTTCTGGATATTTCATAAATATCCGAACCGAGAACCAAACCGAACCGTCCCGTACCGTACCGAACCAAAGAACCGAAATTAAGAACCGAATTATAAAAATAAATGCGTATTATTAATATATTTTATGTCAACTTTGATCCTATATAATTTGAGAATTTTTAAAATGCAAATAAAATATAGTAATAACAATTAAGATTCACTTACATTTTATGATTAGCAATACTTGATCTACAATTGAATTTATCATGTTTAAAAAAAAAATTAAAATAGAATGAAAGGTTAAGATTTAAAAAATAAAAATATTTAAGCTTTACATAAAGTTGTCGATACTTAGGCTTAGTTTATCTTATAACTAATATGGTATGGAAGGTTAAATAAATATTACTTTAATATAAAACTGTGTTATATTTTGTTTGAATTTTAAATTTTTAATGTTAGTTGAATTTAGTCTTAACTAAAATTTAGGGTTACTTCTAAAGTTGATTTAAAAATAAAATCTTTAGTATGATGAAGTATTGATGAATGTTGGATTTAAAAAAAACATATAAAAAATAAAATATAAGTAGGTTGTCATTCAAAAAAATTTAAAAATGATAAGAAATCTCTGAATATCCGAACCGAACCGAATCGTCCCGATAGTCCCGAAAACCGAACCGAACCGAAAAATAAAAATCTTCGAACTGGACCGAACCGATTTTTGGTACGATTCTGGAGATCGAATTTTAGTGATCTCCGACCCATGCTCACCCCTTACTCATTTGGTTACATCTAAGATAATTTTGCACTATATTTTCACACTATTTTAAAAATATTTTACATATAGTACACATTGTCCACCGCGCAATAGCTTTTTCTCTTTTTTTTTCTTTGTTTTTAATTTTGACTAATTTTTACTTATGTGTATTATAAACAAAATACACACTAATAAATTTATTTATTTTGTTAGATAATTTATTTATTTATATAGTTGTACTTCAATTTGTTTTGCAATAATATATTTTATATAAAGCAAATGTAACGCGGACGACTAGAGACAAAAATTAATTTTAGCATTTTTACTTTGCGGGTCACAAGTGAGTGTTGAAATTGAGTATTTTGTTGAATTTCACTTGCAGTGAAAAAAATTGTATGCAATACAAAAACAATATATTTGGGTGGACAACTCAATGCTCAAGTCTAAGCACGTGGCTAATTGTTGAGGTGCGAGCTGTAGTTATAATATTAAATTTTTTTGTGAGGTGATTGCCCACCACCCACCTTAGATAAACAATTCTTGCTTAGTAATTGCTATAACCTTTTTTTTTTCTTTCTTTCTTTGCTATAAAGAATATCATCGGAACCATTGAACCATTGGTCCCAATAATCTCAGCCATTCATTTGTACTTTTTGTGTTGTTCTTCTGTTTGGTTAGTCGAAGATGTCTACTTACATGCTCCAGAATTGGTATCCCTGCCAAACTTTGTAGCCGATTTGGGTGCCCAATGACTTCAAAGTCGCGCAAATCATGTTACAAAATAAATGTATTATTTGCTGTCCGCAAGAGTATTGAT